CGAATCTTTCATGCTCCTTCGGGTCTAATACGTGAAGATATTCGGGTTTAGGTTCAATTTTAAAATCAGTTCCTTATTAATACACAGGTAAATCAGCAATAGCAATCGACTTGAATAAAGATTGTACTAGAAATATCTCAAGTGTTGCAGCAAACAATTCGTACAATAAGAAGCTTATTATACGAAGATATAACTTTTATCAATCTTACACTGTTACTCCATGAAATCAAATTATTTCATATTTTGATTTGGCATAAAATTTCAGACACAGGCTATGAATGTACTATCCACCATTGGATAAAGGTAATGTAAAGGGTGTCTGTCTAACTATTAATATGATCAGACATCTAAATTCAAAATAAATTTAATTGGTTTTAGATAAACATAGGAAAGATAAGGAAAACTACTTTCAACACCATCTTTTGGTCAAAAGATTTAGACAAATTTTTCACTAAAATTAAATCATATGGTTGTTTGTTTACATCTTACTTGATTGTTTGTTTACTGTTTTCTTGATTTCTTTGGTTCAATTCAGTTGATTTTTCTCAGTTTTTTTTATTTCTTTGAGTTTTTCAGTATCTTTTTTTGATTATTTTCACCTCTTGAATCATGTACTCCTTAGAAATTAGAATTTTTGCTCTCGAGGAATATTTCCGCCATGAACTTTTGATTCCAACAATTTGATTCCGAGCTCTCCAGATCTCAATCCGCTAGATTTTTATCTTTGGGGTTATTTGGACTCAAAAAAAGGTGTCCAAAAACTAAAAACCAACTTAAACAATATATAATTGAGGAAACTGCGGCCATAAATAGAGAGATCCTTCCGAATGTTATTAATAATTTCAATAAGAGATTGCGTATTTGCCTTGATAACAATGGTGGACACTTTAGTGATTTATTGTAATAAATTTGCTCTATTAATAGCGATACTGAGTGAAAATAATTTAATCTAATTTCTTTTAGTGAAAAATTTGTCTAAATCTTTTGACCAAAAGATGGTGTTGAAAGTAGTTTTCCTTATCTTTCCTATGTTTATCTAAAACCAATTAAATTTATTTTGAATTTAGATGTCTGATCATATTAATAGTTAGACAGACACCCTTTATAACTTATACAGTATATTAGTGGAAAGTTTGCTTCATTCCAAGGGCAAGGTGATTGAAGGCAATTTTTCGAAAATTGCTCCTTATGCTATCAGAGGTCAATACCAGGTCAGAACATATTTTTGGAAGTCAGGAACAATCTCATTGACAATTTTTGCCCCTCTACAATGGTAGGTACAAACGCTAATGGCATTTAAATTAACCAACATCGTTAGCTGAGTTTAAATTTTCAAACCTTGCGCTTTAAATTTTTTGCTACACGCTTGATCACTTATTTTTCAAGCAATTCTTGTCAGTCTTCAACAAATAAACAGGCAATAGACTGTTATTGTAAAGGATTTTCAGGAAATTATCAAGAACATTTTTCTTACAAGATTAACAAATATGTTAGATTGACAAATATCTTCTGATGACAAGAGAGTATCATTTGATTGTTCGTACTGATTTTTTCAAATTTAACACGATCTTGAACTCTATCTTGACTCCACTAAAATTTTGTAATTTGGCCTCAAACAGCTCAAAAACTCTTAATCTATGATTGATTGGACATATTTGATTTAATTTTTGAGCGAAACATATTAAACTTTATTCGGTGGATAGAGGTTGGTTCTTAACCCGGTAAGATGAAAAATGAGAAAAATTGTTTTATTTAATTTAATTCTCTCGATTTAATTGTAACTTAGTTGCAAGGGTTGAATTGAGGAAAAAACGGCTCAAAATTTATGATCTATCAAATTTTCTTTTTTGTTTAAAAAGATGTCTTCAATCGTCTTAAAAATTATTAATTCATAATTTGGTATCCGAGTTACATCATTTCGATATCTCCGCACGTTTCCTACACTGAATTCGGTCATGCTGGAGTCGTTTCGCCTTTATTATCACCTTTACCTTCTGAACCACGCTGAAAAATGAAATCCAATTGAGCGAAATTTTTTGTTCAATTCAAAGGTAAATGAAAGCTTCCAACTCAAATTGAACGTCAAGAAAGAGAGTATCACAATTCAAACCGACAACGATTATACTTTTATCTGAATGGCTTGCAATCAATGCGTATATTTGACGATTCAAATTCATCAAATGAATTAAAGAATAAAAGCATCCGACTGCTTTGAGAATTATCGACGAATCTGTCAGCTTCAGGTGTTTATTCTTGAAAACATAATAAAAACGAAAAATTGTTAATATTAATAGATAAATTTTTAAAATTTAACAAATGATTGATGTGAAACACGACTCATATATTATATTTTATTTTAACTTATTGTATATTCATCTAATATTATATTGAGTATTCTGAACAATTTTTTTCTTTTTTATAGATATAAGCTCAGATAGGCTTACATAAAAAACAAATCTAGAACACTGGATTCTAACCTTCAGTTATGCATCTTTTACGGTCCTCTATCTCTGAATTCATTTTTTCAAGAATATCATTCGAACGGTAACTCTGACCAAATACCACCAACGCATTTATTGGCATCAGCATAAAAATACACAAGAAAAAAATTATGGGTTTCATTGTAATTAGATAGAAATAAAATATAAATATTTATATTGTTTGAATAATTAATAAAGATTTCGGCCATCAATTTTCAGTACTTGGCGTTTTTACTTATTTGTCTGTTTATGGATATAAATTGGGGGTAATCTCATCAATGTTATCTCTTGCATGAATAAGCACCTAAGTGTATTCATCTTCAAGATTACATTCGTAATTACGGAATCTAACAATCATTCTTCCCAAACTTTCCATCATTCTTGGTTTTAGTTTAGTAACTCTCGGATGGACTTAGCGTGCTTCAGATTTTAGCCAATGAAAGGCTTAATTCAACTCCAATGTTGATTTCCAATATTATTAAGTTTTGGTTACAATCAAAATTGTTCAAATTCTGAAACGCAGGTTCTTTTAAGTTCAGCAGTTAAACAAAGGATTTTACCTTTCACCAGTTAAAGTTTGGCTCAAGAAGATGATGCAGAATTAGATGGATTAACATTTATCCTTAACAAGTTTGAGGATTCAACAAAATTCACAAATTTCAATAACAACAACTACTGTCAGCAATCGTCTACTCCACTTTATTTACTCATCTTAGCTGGAGACTTGTAGGCTATGCAAATGTCAGCTCGTATTAATTTTATTTTATTTGTTTTGAAATTATCATAAGTATACAATGACGAGGGAATTGGCTCAGGTTCTGGTTTTCATTCCTACTTCCTCTCTGTGACAATAATTAAATAATTAATTAAACATATGGGGGAATATAGCCATTAACCGCACTTGACTTTTCATTTTTGATATGCTTTCCACTTGATATCCTTTTACAGACCATTAAGGCCACGCATAAAGGAACTTTGTCCATGTAATTTATTCGTTCTTCTACTTCAACTCCAATATTTATATCATGTTCGTCATTCTCATGTAATAATTTGAACTGTAAATTACCAATTCTAAATTTTGCTATGTTTCCTTTGACTAAATCCTCAACGTCAAACCGAATTTTTTCTTCAAATTCAATGTAAACTGTGTAGCCCATTTCTATCAAATTCATTTTGATTATTGCAATCACACTTGGAATAAATTTGGGTGAAACCACAAGATAACATTGTGGATATATGACTGAATTGGGAGCATAAATACCAAGCCAAGGTTTGCTATCTTTCACTGGGGTGACCATTGTTGAGGTTGCATCCATTTCATTGAAGTCATTTTTTGTTTTAATAATTTTCTCAAGTACCTTTCGTTGATCATTAATGATATAAAACTCACGATTTGTGAACCATTCATCTGGTTTCTTCACTAGTGATGCTTTCACTCTCGGTTGCAGACAACAGACTTCATCATTTCTTAAATTATTGATGAAATGACATGCTGTGGCTGCTTCAACCCATGAACTGAAAACGAAATCAACCTGCGTCATTGATGCTATTCCAGCAATAGGTATAACTTTTGCAAACTTGACCAGGAGTTTGATTACTTGGGAAAGGTTTAATTGAGGATAACAAGACGAGCATATGTACATCAGACCTTTAACCTGCACGTAAAACCACCTCTTATCTGGCTCTTGTTCTGTTTCCATTAACGATTTCATATCTGTTTAGCAAAACTCTCTCTAAATATCATATGATTTGATTCATATCAGATTAGTAGAACTATCTACAAAAAAACGAAAATGAAATCCTTTTTGAATAGTTGTATGAATTTCTCGTCTTGAAATGAATTAACAAAAGTGTATAAATTGAAACTTGATTGAAACAATATTCAGCGTGCATAGCAAAGCGAAGAGGCTTAATTAGCATTGCTAATTCTTCTTTCAACTATTGAACACAAAAAATCTCGAAGACATTAATATTCTTGGATTTGATAAGAAAGTCAATGAACTCAATAATTAAAAAGTTGATAGCTGCTGAAGTTCTGTTTTTAAAGGTTGAATTGATAGTAGACTCACCTCTAAATAGGATATTAAAATCTGTAATACTTAATGTGGATATGCAGACATTAAGCAATAATGTAGTGAAACAATTAACATTCATCAAGATGAACATCTCTAATGAAGTCGATGATAGCAAAATAATTAAGTTTTGCATCGCTTGTTCTGAACAATGTATACTATCAATGAAACAATATCTTTGGATTGTCTTCTCGTATGAATCTGACTTGCAAAGGTTAACCTAACAAAAAGCGGTACTTTTATTACATTGTATTTAATTGTCCTATTACATTATTGTATAGCTTGAAGCACGATAGTGTATTCAGATCAATGGGTTCGAGATGTTTATTCGCGGAATATCTCTATGTTAAAGAGTTTTGTATTTACAATTTACTGATAGCTTAATGGTGTTCCATAGGATGAAAAACTCCTGATGAAATGAACCTCTCCTTGTGTGGGTAACCATTCGTGAAATCAGAAAAAATTTATTCTATTGAATTTGATTCTAATATAATTTATACATTCAACTGACAAAATCGGCTGATCGGCATTCCAACTGCTTTTCTGTAACTATAATTGAAGTGTCCTAACGGGAAAAAATCATAATTCAAGTATATATTCGTAACGCTCTTTTTTGTATTCATCAATTTACTTGCGAGCATTTCAGCAACTTCTGGAGGACTTTCTTGGATGGACTCCATTACAACTCCAACTTCAAAATCATCATCATCCTTCTCATGTAATAATTTGAACTTAATCTGGTCAATTCTAGTTTTAACCTTGTTTCCTTTCTTCAAATACTCAACTCCAACCCAAACTTTATCTTCAAATTCAATGCAAACTGGACAGTCCATTTGTATCAAATTCAATTTGATTATTGAGATCATTCCAGATGTAAATTTAAATTCAGAATTTGTTGTAATAACGAATAAATATTGTAGTTTCTTTATCATTTCATCATCAAATATTAATACACCCAGATCTGTCGTCGATTGAACTGTAAATGAAATTGAATCAAGCAGACTTTTGTTTTGTACAATCTTCTCGAGAACCTTCCGTTTGTCGTTGATGATATAATACTCAGAGTACTTGGAACATGCTAACTGTGGCTTTCTAATAGAACCTATTTCCCTGAACTCTTGCAAATAGGGAACTTCAGCAGTTGTCAACTTTTTCAAGAAATGTTGAGCAGCGAGTGCTTCATGCCATGAATTATATATTGAATTGAGCTCAATAACCGAGGCTGTGGCAGCCAGTGGAATAACTTTGCTAAAATTTACAAAAATTTTAACGATTTGTTCGAGCGCTAGTTTGTGTGAAGTCCACCGACTATAGAATTGTCCAGAAACAGTAAAGTGAAAAACCGTTTCATCGCATTCTTGTTCTTGCATTCGTTGCAGTCTTATTTGTTCTATGAAGTTTGGTCTTTTGATTGGCTTCGAAACTTCTAATTGGCTCGAAAGAAATGCTAAATCATAAGCATCACCAGCTAAATCCTGTAAATTGATGGACTCCAGAAGTTCCTTTGAAGGTTTAGCTATTGACATATCATTTTGTTGCTTGAGACTTGCTACAAATCCGTCTACATTTTTATCAGAATTCTTACACGTATCTTCATCAGGAAAACCAATCCAAGTCTCTCCTGGAATAGATTTTATGAAAATACATTCACGATTTCCTAAAATACTTTTGCTCATTTCCATAAAATGGTCATGAAACTGAGATTCAATTTTTATCACAAGACAAGATAAGTCAAGTTGTTCATTTAAACACCAAGGAGTTCCAGAGCATCGAATCATTTTCTTTACAGCTTTCAGTTTGTGAGCTTCTGATGCGTGCACGGATTCTAAAGGTTCTAGATAACGTGATTGTAGCTTTTCAAAAGCATCTTGATAATCAGAAGCAGAATCGAATTGAGCACAATAAAGATTTCCATCGAATAGAACCTTTTTCGCTCCCAAATCGTACAGATTATAAAGACGTGACCATTTGGTTGGTTCGTAATATTGCACAGGAGAAGTATTATAAAATCAGGATTATATCGAAAGAATATATTCCATTGATCACGGGCATCAAGGCTGGCTACACTAGAAGGCGCTTCATTTGTGTATATTTCGCCGCATGATTCAACGAAGTATGGGCTTTCGTGACGTTAGTTGATGCCATGGCATGCGTATGACTGCATCTGAATAAATCATTTTCACTTTTGGCAAAAACTTTTGCGCATCAGATTTGAATAAAAAGACAATCCAATGATATGATTTCATTGATAAAACACATTGACTGCCTGATTGTGCAGCATAAGCGATACAAAATTTAAAAATTTGATTTTGATAGGCTTCATTAGAGTGGACCACTTTGATGAATGTTAATTGTTTTACTTCCTTGTTGCTTTTCGTCTGCATAACCACTTCAGGCTTTATACATTTCAATATTTCAGCTAGAAGTGAGTCTATTATCAATTTAGCCGTTAAAAAAACTGCCTTATACCGAAATCCAATACAAATAGCACCATCGTAAATGATGGCACTGTTTTTAATAATTCCATTGGCCTGAGCATTCAATTTATTCACCACTTGACTGATGTTGAATGAAAAAGGAAAATATTGGATTAAAATAAAACACATTGGTGAACCAGGTGGTTCAACTGGCTTTAATACACCATCATTTAAAATGAATATGTGGTCAGCTATTTGATCCATTTTATGCGAGGGTGAATCAGCTAATCTAATAAGATAAATTGATACATTATAAAGCTTCTTTAGATCACTCAAAGTACCATAATAATCAGCATCACCACTTCACAATATAATTGTACATTCTTGTCCAGCAACTTTGACAAACTTTTGCAGTAAGTCCATTATTTGAATATCAGCTGATACCCCATTGTAAGCTTGGAAATACAGATTTAATGAATGGCCAAAATTGGAAGGTAATTTATGAACATCACAAACACAAAAGAAATATATTTCATACAAATTGTAAGGTTTAATTACAGTTGAGCGAATCAGGTCCACAATGGAATCAACTGTTTGTCCTTTTGGTACATCAGCATTTTGGATATCCCAAAACACAGCACAATATTTAATCATTGCAGCTATCAATATATTTAATTATACAATTCACTGCTTAATTAATTTCACTAATTAAAGAAGAAAGCTTTGATTGAAAAACACCCCTTTCACTGTTTCTTATTACAGATGTTTCCACAATCTTATTTACCGGGGAAAGCACTAGATTCAAAGAGTAAAGTACTTTACTCTTTGACTAGATTTGACTTATTGTTGAAAATTGAAAATTTAATTGTAGTTCACATAGATGCCAGCACATGAAAAGAACAGACACTCGGAAAAGCGTGTAAACGCTTTTTCGTTGTAAACTTTAATGTACAGTGTATAAAGTCCGTGAAAGAAGTGTTACAAAGAGCAGCAAAATGACGTTAACATTGAACCAACCCATGACGAAAATTTTTACAGATGCGATTGTAATTATTGAATTATTGAATTATTGAACCTTTATCTCGTTCTTAAAACAACAATCCATTTCGCTTTGTATTTTTTTAGACACAGAATGCTCATCAGAAGACAATTACTGATTGAGATGGCTCGACTTCAATAACGCCAGGCATCTGGTTACTCCATTTGTGATGCTTTCACTCTCGGTCGCTGACAACAGACTTCATCATATCTTAAATTATTGATGAAATGACATGCTGTGGCTGTTTCAACCCATGAACTGAAAACGAAATCAACCTGATAGGTTAATGCCATTACAGCAATGGGTATAACTTTGGCAAACTTAACCAGGACTTTGATTATTTGGGAAGTGTTAAATTGAGGACAAGCATATGTACATCAAACCTTTAACCTCTTATCTGGTTCTCATTCTGTTTCCATTGCTTCAATCCGAAAGTGTGAATATGTCGTTTTCAGGATCCAGCTGATGAATTTAAATGACAATATCGACTGGTTGACATTCCAACTGATTTTCTGTAATTATAATTGAAGTGTCCTAATGGCACAGCACTAGGGATGGAATATACATTCGATGAAAGTGTTTTTGTTGGACAACGCAATTTATTTGTCAACATTTTAGCAACTTTTGGTGGAAACCTCGAGATCCATTGAATTTCAACTCCAACATCAAAATCATCATCATCATTTTCATGTAACATTTTGAACGTGATCTTTTCAATTTTAGGTTTCGCTTTGTTTCTTTTCTCAAAATCACCAACTGCAAGCCAAATTTTATCTTCAAATTCAATGCAAACTTGACAGTCCATTTGTGCCAAATTCATTTTGATTATTGAGATCATTCCAGATGTAAATTTAAAATCATATTTGGTTTTAATAACGTATTTATATTGCATTTTCTGTATTATTTCTTCGTCCAACATATTAATATTTGTCTGCGATTTAATTTTAGAAGAATTTGAATCGTGTTTATTCACCTGACTTTTGTTTTGCATTATTTCGTCGAGAACTTTTCTTTCGTCGTTAATGATATAGTACTTGAATATGTTGACAAATGCTGACTGCTGTTGTTGTACTTCACTTGCTCCATTAAACTCTGTAAAATAGGGAACTTCAGCGGGTGTTAAGTTGTTGATGAAATGACGAGCAGCGTGTGCTTCATACCATGAATTGAATATCAATTTGACCACATCATACAATGCTGTGGCAGCGAGCGGAATAACTTTGCTAAAATTCACTAAAATTTTAACGATTTGTTCGAGTGATAATTTAACCCAAGACAGCCGATTACGAAAATTTGCATTGATAGTTATGTGGAAAACCGCTGCATTACACTCTTGTTCTTCCGTTCTTAGAAAACTTATTCGTTCTATGATTTGCGGTTTAGCGATTGGCTTCATACTTTCTAATTGGGCCGAAAGAAATGCTAAATCATAAGCATCGCCAACTAAATCATGTAAATTGACAGATTCCAAAAGTGTATTGGAAGGTTTAGCTATTGAAACATCATTGAGGTACTTGAGATCAGCTAAAAATCTAAGTACTGTTTTCTTTGAATTTTTACAGATTAGTTCATCAGGGAAACCAATCCAAACAATCCAGAACTGGTTTGATGAAAATACATTCACGATTTCCTAAAATCTTTTTGCACCTTTCCTTGAACTCGATGTGAATCTGTTCATCAACTTTTACCACAAGACAGTGAATGTCAAGTTCAATATTTAAACACCAAGGAATCTCATGCTTATGTCGATTCATTTTCTTAATAGTAGCCTTAGTAAATTTTTTGTTGAGATCCTTTGCTTTTACGAATTCTAAAGGTTTGCAATATCCTGACCACTTTTCTGCGCAAGTATCTTGATAATCAGAAGCAGACTCGAAATGAGCACAGTAAAGATTGGCATCACATATAACCTTTTTCGCTCCCAAATCGTAGTATTTCTCAAACAGTTTATAAAGTAGCGACCATTTGGTTAATTGATTATGTGCCACATGAGAAACAAAATAATTATCACAATGAAAGAATATCTTCCAACCATCATTATTGTTTGAAACTATTTTTGGTTCTAAATTCATTGTTTTTTTCAAGGTTACTGATTCCTTTGATGCTTTCGGTTTCATATGGGCACTCGGACCGATGTTAGGATGATTTATGCTACTGGAGTTTTTATTATGTGAACTTGCTTCTATATCCTTTTCTGATTTTGGTTTAGCTGCGTTATCCACCTGCGAGCTCACTTCATTTGTGACTTTTTGTTCACAACATCTAACAGTATATGAGTTTTCGTGGTATTTTGATGCCAAATCAACCGGTGGATCAGAAATGATTGCATCTGGATACATAATTTGAACTTTTGAAAGACAATCTTGTGCATCAGATTTGAATGAAAAGACAATCCAAAGATATGATTTTGTCGATAAAATACATTGACTGCCTGATTGTTTCGTACAAGCGATACAAAATTTAATAAATTTGCTAATATCGACTTCATTGGAGTTGTCCATCTTGATGAATGTTAATTGTCTCGCTTCATTATTGTTTTTAGTCTGCATAGTCACATTAGGTTTAATACATTTTAATATTTCAGTTAAAGGTGATTCAGATAACAATACAACTTTTAAAAAGTGTCCATGGAACCGCGATCCATTTAATTGTTCAATGGCCTTTTCAGCATTCCATAAAGTAGGAAATCCAATACAGATTAAATCATCAAATAGAATCGCACTCTTTTGGATACTTTCAGCAATCTGGTTATTCAAAGTACCCATAACAAAGTTGATGTCCATAGTTAGAGGATAGTTTTTGATTGAAATGAAATACTTTGGTACAACAGTTGATTTAATCGGCTTTAATACACCATTATTTAACATGCATGTGTAGTCGGATATTTGATCAAGTTTAGGTGAAAATGAATTGGCTAATCTAATAAGATTAATTGATACATTATGAAGCTTCTTTAGATCACTCAAAGTACCATAATAATCGCCATCACCACTTAACAATATAATTGTACATTCTTGTCCAGCAACTTTAACAAACTTTCTCATTAAATCCAATATTTTAATATCAGCGGAATCCTTAACTCCATTGTAGGCTTGAACAATATCAACATCCAGAGCTATTAATGAATTGGCAACATTTGAAGGTAATTTATGAACATCACAAACACAAAAGAAAAAGATTTCATTTAAATTGTAAGGTTTAATTACAGTTGAGCGAATCAGGTCCACAATGGAATCAACTGTTTGTCCTTTTGGTATTCCAACATTTTGAATATCCCAGAACACAGCACATGGTTTAGCCATCTTAAAACACTTGATGCATCAAAATTCACTGCTTGTTCTCATTCAATTGATCCAATGAACAGGCGTTAATGGAAAATAACATGTAATCATCTCAGCATCTAATCATCTAGCTACAATTATTATGATAAACACATTCTGTAACTATGGATGAGTCATGTATCATTAAACTAACCGTAATCTCATTAGTTGATGATGAAAATGTACCTTACGTTCTTGAATCGAAATATAACTTATAATATCGATGCACGAAAATATCTCTCAGGGCAAAATATTAAATTACTGTGAACTACTCACAGTGTTTATACTATTTTCCAAGTTAAATAGTTCAAAATCGTCTTCAATATTTCTTGATAATTAACTGTAAATGACAGATGAAAAGTTTTTAATTTCAAATGGATCGTAAATAATATGCCTGTTTTTACTTTTCACTGAAGATGGTCTGAAATGTTAGCCCTGAAAACTTGTGCTGTATTAGTTATACATTGCCTTCATTCAGCGGTGGATATTACATTCATAGTCTGTGTCTGAAATTATATGCCAAATCAAAATATAAAATAATTTGATTTTTAGGAGCTAAGAGGGATAAAAGTTATATCTTCGTATAATGAGCTTCTTATTGCACGAATTGTTTGCTGCAACACTTGCAATATTTCTAGGCCAATCTTAATTCAGTTCGATTGCTATTAATGATTTACCTGTGTATTAATAAGGTACTGATGACTGGCTTATCAGTGATTTTCAAATTAAACCTAAACCCATATATCTTCACGTATTAGACCCTAAGGAACATGAAAGATTCATCAAAATACGAGTTTATTAAGAGTTTCATTTTAAAAGCAAGTAAAAGAGTTTGAATTACAGTATATTTTGGTTTTCATTCCTACTGCTTCTCTGTGATAATAATTAAAGTGTCCTAAAGGAACATATGGGTGAATATAATAGCCATTAACAATACTTGTCTTTTCATTTTTGATTTGCTTTCCACCTGATATCCTTTTAGAGACCATTAAGGCCACACATAGAGGAACTTGGTCCATGTAACTTATTCGCTCTTCTACTTCAACTCCAATAGTTATATCATGTTTGTCATTCTCATGTAATAATTTGAACTCTAAATTACCTATTCTAACCTTTGCTATGTTTCCTTTGACTAAATCCTCAACTTCAACCCAAATTTTATCTTCAAATTCAATAATAACTTTATAGCCCATTTCTATCAAATTCATTTTGATTATTGAGATCATACTTGGAGTAAATTTTGATCCAGTTTTGGGTGAAATCACAAGATAACATTGTGGATATATGACTGAATTGGGAGCATAAATACCAAGCCAAGGTTTGCTATCTTTCACTGGGGTGACCATTGTTGAGGTTGCATCCATTTCATTGAAGTCATTTTTTGTTTTAATAATTTTCTCAAGTACCTTTCGTTGATCATTAATGATATAAAACTCACGATTTGTGAACCATTCATCTGGTTTCTTCACTAGTGATGCTTTCACTCTCGGTTGCTGACAACAGAAATCATCATTTCTTAAATTATTGATGAAATGACATGCTGTGACTGCTTCAACCCATGAACTGAAAACGAAATCAACCTGCGTCATTGATGCTATTCCAGCAATAGGTATAACTTTTGCAAACTTGACCAGGAGTTTGATTACTTGGGAAAGGTTTAATTGAGGATAACAAGACGAGCATATGTACATCAGACCTTTAACCTGCACGTAAAACCACCTCTTATCTGGCTCTTGTTCTGTTTCCATTAACGATGTCATGACCTGAAATATTTGTGGCTTCTCATCCAACTTTTGACTTGAATGCAATGCATTTGAAAGAAATGCTAAGTCATAAGCATCTCCAACTAAATCATCAAAAACAATTGATTCCAAAAGTTTTGTTGGAGGCTTAGCCCTTTCAACAGATTTATATGGATACCGCAATAACCTCAGTATATGTCTACATGAATCTTCACAAATAACTTCATCAGGAAAACCTATCCAAATCTCTTCTGAGAGCGATTTTATGAAAATAGATTTCCATTCCTCTAATAAAGTTTTGATTTGATGAATAAAGTACGAGTGATGTTGATCATCCAATTTGATTAAAAGGCAATGTAAATCAAGCTCTTGGCTCAAACACCAAGGATTGTCAGAAGGATAACAATTCATTTTGTTCGCCATTTTCTGTTCAAGTGATTCGACATGTGCGACTCTTAAACCTCGCAAATCAAGAGAGTCCTTCTTGACAAGCATCTGTTGATAATTTTTTTCGGAATCGAAGTGCAAACAGAATATATTTCTATCGAAAATGACTTTTTTAGCTCCTAAATCGTATGATTTCTCAAACAGATTATAGATTAAAGACCAATTAGTTGATAGATTCGTGTTAACAGGAGATTCGCAGTGAAAAAACATTTTAAAATTGGATTTCGCTTGAGAGACTGATGAAGAAACGGGTAATTTGTGTTTTACGAAACTTCCTGGTTTAGATGGTTCAACTGGATTAATGATCGTATCCTTAATATTACTGTTTTCAGACTTGATGTTAAATATTTGACTAACTTGGCTTATTGAATGTGCATCCAATGCCTTTTCTTGTGACACTTTGAATAGAGTTTCAACTTCTCCAGTATTTTGGACGATTTCGTGTTCAATTTCTGAAGTATTATTCAAGGAATTGATGCTCGAAGGTTTAACAGAGTGAACATTATCTGAACATGGTAAAGTCAAGACGATCTCTGTACAAACAGCAGTGTTACTCGGCACATCTAGCTTTGGACTATTAGATAAGATACTTTGTTCATCAAAAAACTGGACAATATAAGGACTAATTAAACATGGTAAAGTCAGACCAGGAGGGGGCTCAGAAATGACTGCATCTGGATATAATATTTGAACTTTTGACAGACAATCTTGAGCATGAGATTTGAAGGAGAAGACAATCCAAAGGGATGGTTTTTTTGATAAAATACATTGACTTCCAGTAGGTGCAGTACAAGCGACACAAAACTTAATGAATTTACTGTTATCAACTGAATCGCTTACGTTGGGTATCCTGATGAATGTCAACTGTTTAACTTCACATTTATTAGTTTTAGTTCGTTTACTCTTTTCAATCTTGATGCTTTTTAAAATACCAGTTAAAGGCGAATCTTTTATCAATTCAGCCTTTAAAAAGTGTCCATGATATCGAGATCCGTTTACTTGTTCGATGACCTTTTCAGCATTCCATAAGGTAGGAAATCCAATACAAATTAAATTACTGTGAAGGATGGCACTGTTTTCAATACTTCCATTGGCCTTAGCATTCAATTCATGCATCACTTGACTGATGTTAACTGAAAGAGGATAGTTTTGAATCGAAATGAAATACTTTGGTGGACCGGTTGACTTGATCGGCTTTAATACACTATTATTTAACATGAATGTGTAGTCAGCTATTTGATCCAGTTTAGGTGAAAATGAATTAGCTAATCTAACCAGATGAATTGATACATTATGAAGCTTCTTTAGATAACTCAGAGTATCACAATAATCGGCATCACCACTTAACAATATAATTGTACAATCTTGTCCAGAAAATTTAACAAACTTTCTCATTAGTTCCATTATTTTGTCATCAGCTGAATCTTTTACTCCATTATAAGCTTGAACAATATCAACATCCAGAGCTATTAATGAATGGCCAACATTTGCAGGTAATTTATGAACATCACAGACACAAAAGAAAAAGATTTCATTTAAATTGTAAGGTTTAATTATAGTTGATCGAATCAGGTCCACAATGGAATCAACTGTTTGTCCTTTTGGTACATCGATATTCTCAATGTCCCAAAACACAGCACAAGGTTTACCCATTTTTATGTCAGTATTATGTATGAAATTAATTTTGGAGGTTGATCAAGAAATAATTATAAGACTTATAAAACTTAATTGTGTGATCTGAATACTACTAATGGCTGGATTTTATTAACATAGTGATTGAATTATCAGAACATCAAACAGAATAAAATTAACATGAAACTGTTAATGCCTGTGAATACACGGTTAAAAGGGTGTAAATTGATTAAAAATTTCATTATTATCATGTGTGATTAAGTTAAATAAATATTTTCATCAAACAAATGAAACAATATCTGCTCAGTAGATCTCTCTCAAAATATCATATCATATGATTTATATCACATTAGTAGAAATATTTCCATTTTGAATAATCCAATTTTGAAGAAATCCATTTTGAATAGTTTTGTGAATTTCTCGTCTTGAAATGAACTAACAAAAGTGTATAAATTGAAACTTAATTGAAACAATATTCAGCGTGCGTAGCAAAGCGAAGAGGCTTAATTAGCATTGCTAATTCCTCTTTCAACTATTGAATACAAAAAATCTTGAAGACATTAATATTCTTGGATTTGATATTTTAAAATATGGCCCATTTAGAACGTTTGCAAGAGCTGAGAGAAAATTTTACGTCAAAAGATCCCTTTCATCATTCAGCATTTGGGAAATTGATCTCATTTCATATATTTTATTTTTGGTTGTCTGTGTATACTAGATTTTATTAGTTTAGATATGTTAGAATAACTTTGATCTAGCATTCATAACGCAGTTCTAAACTAATCATGAGTAAGCCAGATTATTGGCCAACTGTAGTTTGGGTCTACAGTTCTTTCAAGTTTGGTCGAGTTTGGTTAGGTACGAAATGCTTTTTGCCAGTGAACATTCTGACTTTTGCTTTATAACGCTTACTACGTAAAAATAAAAGCAAAATCAAATTCAATTCGATTTTCAGTGATAGTATTCTATGAATTAAATTAAATTGATATAAACAGAACTAGAACTTTTAAATTTCTTGCTATTATTTTAAGGTTTGTGGCACTGTATTTTCATGTGGATTCATAAAACGATAAAAAAACATCATAGATGTAAGGCTCATAAATTTTTCAACCGAATTGAATAAAAATGAAATAAGTTTTCTTATAAATCAAATAAATTGCTCAGTGTGCTCCGATTTAGA